GATTTCACAAGTTTCAAAATCTCCCCTCCCCCTACCGCATCCCAAAACCAGTCCAGCTCGTCCCTGCCTCCCTAACCTGTTCTTCCTCCCACCTATCCCCTCCTCCCACCTCAAGCCGCACCTCCATCTCCTACCGACCAACCTCATCCCGCCCCCTTGACCTGTCCGTCCTCCCTGGACTGACCTATCCCCTTCCTAACTCCCTACCTACACTCACCTTTCCTGGCTCCATCCCCGCCTCTTCGACCTGTTTGTTTCCTCTCCACCTATCCTCTCCTCTATCCCTCTTCTATCCGCCTCCCACTCTCTCCCTATTTATTTCAAAACCCCCTTCCCCTCCCCCTTTTCTGATGAAGGGTCTAGGCCCGAAACGTCAGCCTCTCTGCTCCTATGATGCTGCTTGGCCTGCTGTGTTCATCCAGCCCTGCACCTTGTTGTCTTGAACTGCTGAGAGTCTATTTGCTGTTCCAGATTGAGACCAATAGGTGATGATGTATAATCTTTTCTCTACAAATTGTGAAAATCACATGCTAAAGCGCTCTGGTGATGCAGTGGTAGTGTCTCTACCCTTAGACCAAGAGATAGCGAGGGTCAAGTTCCACCTGCTGCAGAAGTGTGTAATAATATCTCTGAACAGGTTGATTATAAAATTTAAAAAAAAACTGCATTCTGAAAGTGTTTAAACTAGTAATAAAAATTTATAATATTTAAAAACAATTTAATGCAAGTTAAAAACACAAATTTCAGAATTACACTACAGGGATGAGCCATTAAATTTCCATTAATGCATTTTTAACAACTTAATTAAGTTTCCTTGCCAAAGTCCCATTATCTTCTATAAGTCTGTGTTGACTTTTTTTTAAAAATTGTCCTCCTGGGAGTCTCCTGCCACGACTGCACAGTTCCTTTGGGCAACTGGTGTCAGGCATATGAACACCAGGTTTCACCCAGTGAGACTGGTTTTGAGTGAAAAGTGCCTTAATACTGGTCAAGTCGGTTTAGAAAAGGATGATACTGTTAAGCAGCCTGCCATAGGATTTGTTGGATCTGCAAAGGCACTGCTGGTGGTACCTCTCCAGTACTTTTGAGAGTACACAGTCCATGTTTGTTAAGAGTATCGGACTGTTGCAATCATTGCTGCACTAGTAAAGCATGACCTTAGTCTCAGCTTTGAAAGATCCTGGTCCTCAAATATTATTCCTCAGTTGGTTGAAGATTGAGCTAGCACATTGGAGGTGCTGAAGAATTTTGTCACCTAGTCTCCCTTCATCAAGGATAAACTCCCAAGAGATTGAAAATGGTCCACGTTTTCAAGGATCATGTCACTTATGAGTTACATTTGTAAACCTACATCATTTTGATTCAGGGTCCAATTAGTTGTATGTTGTGGTGTTAGAGTTTAGACCTCAGATTTTGCATTGACAGCACTGGTCATTGTATTATTGCTTGCCATTATTGTGGAGTAAGTTAGACAGCAACATGATGAGAACATTAAAATCTGGAAAACAGGATGGTGCAGTCCAATTTGTCATATTCCTTCAGAGCAGCAACACTTATTATTAGATACCCACTGCACTAGGCTTAGCCAGTCAACTGGCACTGAATCTTAAACTGCACTACATCTTGATGCCTTCCAAACATCATTTTGGGCAATTAAACAAAATGTTCTTTTACATGTGTCGATTTTCATTCCTTCAGCTTTTAATTATGGGAGATTTAAAAAGTTTTTTTTGTTTTCTTAATTCAATCTTTCTTCCGCTCTCCTTATTTTGCTTCCTTTACATGGTTTTACTTTGAATTAAATATTCTATCCTCACCTTCTTGGCTTAGAATCTGCAGTAAGGATTCCTCAATCAGTATGGTTAAAGAGGCATGACACTGCTTACTTTGTTCACACAGATTCATTGTTTTGGAGTCTTAGCAGTTAAAAGTTGCCATTCATTTACCACAGACTGAAAAATCTTGTTTGTTCCTCTGAAATGCAATAGATTGCAAGAAGCTTGCAATTGTGCAAAAAGAATTGATTTGTGAATAACTAAAGAAATTCTTTGAAGTTCATGAGTCAGTACTTTTAAGGCAATCGTCTTGTGATTCTTTGTCTTGTAGGTTATTAGAATAAATGTCACAATAGGGGTAGGTTCCTATTGACACCTGGCTGAAGGGTTCAATGTGATATCTTATGAACAAAAGGGTCTAAAGATAGCTGTGAACTCCACAGTAACCGCACTATTTATTAACGAAATGCGGAAACATGATGAGATCTTCTCAACAAATGAGGCTACATGAAGAGAAAAGGGGAACATGCAGAGGCATACAAACAAGCTTAGAATAGCAAAATACAAATTTAATTCTTAACAATTAAAAAAAACCTAGATTCACCTTATCTGCCAAAATGTTCATCTGTGTTGGTTACCAGTCTTTATTAAACAGATTGTGATCAATAATGTGATAATTCCACAATATGATACCAAACAAAATAAAACAGTCTTGCGTGCAAACAAGTATATTCATCTTCAAAACCCTGAGCCGAGGTGGAAATACTTTACCATTTTTGGGAATAGTGAAATGTTTTGCTCTCTTTCCACCACCAGAAAACTCTCATTTACCACAACTCTGCGGATATCAACATGTCATCGCATCATTAGACACCTAAGAGATGCTTCCACAAGTTACAAGACAGAGACCAAGCAGTGTCTTTCATTACCTCAAAATGCCCCAAAGCCAACTTTTGCAACACAATAAAATGCAGCAGTGAATCTGCACTTGGCCCCATAAAGCACGGCACAAAGAGGTGACAGTAGCATGGTGAAATATCACTGGGCTAGTAATCCACCCCAGGCTAATACTCTGGGGTCATGAGTTAAAATCCCACCATGGTAGCTAGTGCATTTTAAATTCAGTTAATAGATTTGGAATTAAAAGATAGATGTGGTAATAGTGACCACGTAACCACTGTTTATTGTCTTAGAAACGCATCAATTTCACTAATGCCCTGTACTGAAATATATCTGCCATCCTTCTCTGGTCTGGACTATATTTCACACCAATCCTATAATAATGTGGTTGACTTTTTATCCTCTGATTTCACTGAGCAAGTCACACAGTTCAAGGGGAATTAGGGTGGCCTGGTTGTGACACTCTCGTACCATGATAGAATATTTAAAAAAAGACAAGGAACCGTTTTCATCTTGTTACTTAAGGGATAGATATTGGCCAGGATATTCAGCAAAAGATCCATGCTATTCAAGTGAGGCAATGGAATCAAATGTAGGAAAAAGTGCTGGAGAACCTCAGCAGGTCTGGCAGCATCTGTGGAAAGATAAACAGAGTTGATGTTGAGTACGGCAAGACTGTTCTGAACAAGGCCATGGAATCTATTGTACACGCCAAAGAAGCAGACAGGATCTCATTTTAATCTCTTCATCTTGTGTATGAGGCAGAGAGAGTACATTCTTACATCTGTTTTCATAGCTAGATTTTGCTGGAACAGATCACTTGCCTGTTTCTGCTGGTTTCTTATGTTTGAATTTTCTAAGCCCAAACATTTGAACTTTCTAGGCCCGAATATTTGAGAAGGGTCGATCTAAACATTAAGTGTAGCCACATTGGTGAATCAGCCTAATCTAGAACACCAAGGTGGATTAATATCAGCTCATAAATAAAAACCAAAAGAACTGCGGAGACTGTAAATCAGGAACAAAAACAGAAGTTGCTGGAAAAGCTCAGCAGGTCTGGCAGCACCTGTGAGGAAAAAAAATCGAAGGAGTTCACATTTCAGGTCTGGTGACCCTTCCTCAGAATGTTCTGAGGAAGGGTCACGAGACCGGAAATGTTAACTCTGATGTTTTCCTCACAGGTGCTGCCAGACCTGCTGAGCTTTTCCAGCAACTTCTATTAATATTAGCTCTTTCTGTTTGCTTAAAATGCTGTGTGCTATAGTATAGGGAAATATTTAACAGCTCCACCTTTAAAGATCTTTGATGTAGAGTGGCAGGGCTGAAGCCCAAGAACAACCAAGTGTTCACCTGGACTCTACTGAAACTTAACCATTCAGGGCATAATCCACCCACAAAATACAGAACTAACTTTTTTTAAAATCAAAAAGGTAAACATCTGTTTTTAAATAAATGCTTATACCTGTGTAGTTCTATACCAACAAAGAGACCTTAATGAATCTCTCTCCTTGGACAATGGGTATGAGGCTATTCACAATCTTGCTGCTACATTTGAACCTTTGGTGAGTTCCTAAACAGATTTCTGCACTAACATCCCTCACCACCTCTGCGCATAGCCAGACTCCGTCCCTACATCAGGTCATCAGCTGCAGAAATTCTCACCCATGACTTTGTTGTCTTGAATATTTCAATGTAATCCTTGCCATTCTTTCCATTTTCAAACCCTTGTAAACTTGAGGTCGTCCAAGCCTTTACTCAAACAAACTGTCGTTCTCAATCACCCATGTGCTCACTGACCTGCACTGGTCCCCAGTAAGTAATGACTCCGTGTTAGAAGTCTCACCCTTGTTTTTAATTACTGCCTCCAGGTTTGTAACCTCCTCCAGACTCGTAACACTCCAAGATATCCATGCTCCTCTAATTCTGGACTCTTGCGCTTGCCTGAATTAATTGCTCTACTAGTGGCTGCCAAGGCCCCAAGCTCCGGAATTCCCCTCAACCACTTTAAACCACTTCATCTCTCTTTCATCCTTTAAGAACTCCTTAAAGCCTAACACTTTGATCAAGCTTTTGGCTTTCTGCCATAAGATCTGCTTATGTATTTCAGTGTCAAATTTTGTTTTAAAACACTCCTGTGGAGTGTCTTTGGATGTTTAATTATATTAAAGGTGTTCTATAAATTCCCCTTCTTCCTGAGGGGGATTAACTAGCCTCTTCTTGATCCTTCCACCTCATAACCACACCATAAATTGGGAAATTACTGCATACCATTATGAATAGTAGAGTTCATCCCAACAAAATAATGAGTCTTTTAATTAGAGTGTACACGATTGAAATGATTGATGTCGTACTTTATTAATGGAAAACCACAGTATAGTTCATAAAAGTTGTCTTTCCAAATATGTTTGAAATTGAAAAACATTGTGATCGTGTTATCAATCTATATACTACTACAGTTTAAAAAAAAGCACAAAGATCAACATTCCAGCACAAATCTCACAAAGGATAAAACCACGGATGCAGCTACATCACTATAAAAACACATTGCTTGGCTCCCAAAAAGAAGCTTATTACCCACATTCCCATGTGGAATGAGAACGATTGCTCTACCTCCTCAAAGATGATGCTACTAAAAGCCCTTATTAATCAGGCAAGCCAATGGCATTGTGTTCATTTCTTATCATGAGACATACATTTTTATGGTAATTATTTAAATAATCAATGTCTTAGCATTCTCAAAATTCTTGGACTCAAACTAGTGTGCATTTAAGGAGGTTTAACATCAGTGCACTCCCTATTTCCTTGCTATGTGAACCTTTGTACTGGAGAAGTGGATAATCAGCTGGGAATCCCAAATGGAAATCACTCTGATGGTGTCCATAAGGAAGCGGGAATGCATGGATGAAGCTGGGTTCTACACTCCTATTATCCTTCTACCACTTTTGGGAAAGACACTCATAAAATATTCAGCACTTGGACGGAGTGCTGGAGGGCAAGAGACACCAGTAATGAAGTGGAGAAAATGGGTGAAGTGATTGCCAAGTACCAATGAAATGCACACTTTTTTCAGAAACCTAATATTTCTGTGGATAACTCAATGCTTAATACATACAGGTTGAAACTGCATTGATTCAGAATTTTATATGGTGAACTAAATCACCTCCATGCACAGATTCTCTCCATTTTTTAAAACAATAAATCCATTGTCACACGCAAATTATTTCACATCTTTTGAGACAAACCAGTTGGAATTCAGCTGAACCCCCTACCAAAGATGTTGAATAGCCTGAGTGACCACAATACACAGTAGAACCAGTCCAGTTTCAGCTAAATACTGCAGAAATCTTACTATCCTTACTTTCTCTGGTTCTGACGCAAGGTCACCAACCTGAAATGTTATCTCTATTTTTCTCATAACCGATGTCACCTGACCTGCTGAGCATTTCCAGCATTTCATATTTGTAGAGTCATTACGAACCCAGGCACCCATTTAGCCCATTGAAGTTCATGCGGGATTTCTGTAGCTACTGAAGGAAAAAGACAGCACTGCAGAGCTCGTACTGAATCGTTCTATTTACAAATGGAGTTGTGAAGCACAGATATGCTGGGTAGGCAACTCACCTGTAATTTACCAACTGTGCTGTGAAAAAGAAGGCATGACATTGCTTTCAAGTTCTCCCCTGACGGGATAAAAAAGGTATAGAAGTTGTTGCTTAAGAGGAGGGCATAGAAGTATCTTTTCGCTCAGAGACTGTAGTGGAAATTACTAAGGAAATTACAACATTGAAGTGGAACCAGGCCTCGGAGAGACTTAAAAATGAGGATGAGAATTTTAAAATTGAAACACTGCTTGAACATGACCTAAAGTAAACTAAACCAGCAAGCACTGGGAACGAAGAGTGAATGGGTTTGATGTGACACACGAGCAAGAGAGTTTTAGTGAGTTTATAGAGGGTGGAATTTGGGAGACTGACCTGTGACAGGTGAGTCAAGTTTGGAGCTAATGAGTCATGGATAAGGATTAGAGCATCAAGTCAACTGAGGAAGGGGTGGGGTATGGTGATGTTTCAGAGGTGGAAATAATCAGTCATAGTGATGGCACGGATACATGGTGGAAAACTCATCTTGAGGTCTAACATAATAGTGAGGTTGTGAACTGTCTGGTTCAACTTCTGACAGGAGTAGTGGCGAGGGAGCAGAGTTTGTGGCATGGATCAAAAGGCATTGGCTTCAATCTTCCCAATATTTAACTGTAAGAAATTTCTGCACATCCAGTAACAGATGATTGGATAATTTAACAAGTTGAGAGGTGCCAGTGAGGCAAGGCTGGGTGTTGTCAACATGTTTGAAAACTGTGTTTCTGCATGAGTTGCCAAGGGCCAGAATGTAGATGAGAAACAGGAGGCGTCAATGGGCACTAGAGTTAAAGTTATGGAAGCAGGAAAGCAAGCCACTGCAAGTGATTCTCTGGCTACAATGAAATATGGAACTAGTTCCATCCAGGAATACAATGGAGGACAGCCATTTGAAGAAGGGTATGTACTCAACCACATCAAGGGCTGCAGATTGAGAAAGACAAGGAGAGACAGTTTCACATAGTAATAAGCTACTATTTGCAATTTCAATGAGAGTAATTTCTATCCTGCAGCATGGGTGGAAACCCAATTGGAGAGATTCAAACATGAATCTCTGGGAAAGATAGGCATGAATTTGTGAGGTTTGTGGATTTTCTGTGGTAGTGCATTAGAAATTGGGGCCAGTGGGGTGGATGAGCTGCCATAATGGGAAGGGTGAAGTGAGCACACTAACCAGTGAGCCATCTGCCATCACTGAAACCCAGAAAATGGGTTAGTTTAATCTCACCTGGCAAACAGGAAACTGGCACGACCTGGTCAACTGTCCATCCCAACATCCCACCTGATTTTATTTTGCATTGAAGTGAATTGAAAATGGAATCTGTCGGGATAGAAAACAGGTAGCCAATCTGATTCCAACAGTTTTCCCGTTAGGCGCGTCACGTAAAACTACCTCACTGATATCATAAAGACTGTCGCTCTTTCATATGCATTCATCAGCTCACACTCGGGAGTTGCCAGCCAGGGATTACAGCCTATATACAGCACCAAAAACAACACAGTATGTGTACAACAGCAAAGTTCTGATGCTGCTGAAAACCTGAAACAGAAAATACTGGAAACAATAAACAAGTCAAGCAGCAACTATGGAAAGAAAAACAAAGTTGAAATTTCAGGTCAATTACCTTCCATCAGATGCAGAATTTTCTTTTTTTCCCCCCAATAACACAATTGTTTGCTAGAATTGAGAGGCAGGTATAGGGCTGAATATCACTTGTTGAACGCAGTGACAAAATAAAACACTGACAATTTACATTCCTGTTTTTTTAAAAATTCCTCATACATTTTACTTTAATTCCTCATCACCTTGATGTCATACATCACATGGCTTCACCCTTTGATTTCAACGAGAGGAAGATTAAATAAAGCACTCAACTTGCTGCAGATTTCAGCTGCAAAGACAATGTGCATTTAAGTTGGCTTGACGATGAGTGGTATCCCTTTTTTTGCCCCTGAGCCTCCTCATTCTTTTTAACACACTTATAATAATAACAACTGAGCTCTTGGTCATGACGAAGGAGGAAACAACACAACAACAATAGTAGACTGGGTTAGCTGCTTTAGTTATACAACATTAAATATGAGCCCTAGCTGCATCTCAATGTAACTAAATCAATTTGGAACTGTACAGAACTGATAAATTGGGTTCATCCAAAGGCAGGATACCAATATCATTAGCTTCTTATTAATAAGAACCTAATAGCGGTAGAGTACTTCCTTAATCATCATCTCCATCATCCTCAAAAGACAGCAAGCTGGTGTTTTTTACTTGCTTTGGTTTGTTCTCTGAATTTGAGAGTTCGGTTTGCTCTTTTCGCTCTTCCTTTTTCTTTTTGCTAGAAGTGGCAGTGAGGCCTGCAAAGGTGTCACCTGAAGAACGCTTTGCTGGTTTCCTGAACACATGCTTCCCATCCTCTGGCTCTGGCTCTTCAGCTGGTCAGAAAATACAAGAAAATTAAGAGTAATCAGGAAAGGTATTTGCTTACGATGAAATACTCTTATTGCTCAGAACACCCGTATACTTTTGGCGAAATTTCTCCCACTTTACATCCACACCACTCTTGAAATGGCCTCTGGTTTACATTGATGGGCGACCCATGGATCAACACCTTCTAATCTATCAGGTCAGATAGCAAACAGACTGAGGGGCAGTGATTACAGGAAAATAGTCTTGTCAGTAGACACAGAGGATTGCACACAAAGAGGAGACTAAGACTTTAATTGCCTGATCCTCTTAATTCATCATTGTAAGATTACAGGTTTTGGTCACTAATATTACTGCTCTCTCCAAATTAAACAAGACTCTACTGTATCCCATTTTTTTTCTTAAATGTATTCTTTATTCACAAGGTAGAAGAGACAGCGACAAGGCATCATTTATTGCCCATCCTACATTGTCGTTGAGAAAATGTTGGTGAAGCCACCTTCTTGAACCACGGGCAGGGCATAGAGTTACAACAACAATGCTGTCTGGGACAGAGTTCCAAGATTTTGATCCAGAAACAATAGGTGGCGACTGACTTAACCACAAATAAAAAATGAAGTGTCAAGTGCACATTTACCCTGTAAATCACTGCAGAACACATTTGTGTAAATGCCTTTCAATAGCTTAATCCAAGCTGCTCACAACAGATGTATTTTGGATACTTTTAACAGTCAGCTATAAAATCAGGGTACAGCAAACAGATACAAAACGGCTGTTAAATGTACTTTCAAAGAACAGGTATGTGATGTAGAGGTGCCAGCGTTGGACTGGGGTGGACAAAGTCAAAAATCACACGACATCAGGTTATAGTCCAACAGGTTTATTTGAAATCACAAGCTTTCGAAGCGCAGCCCCTTCGTCAGGTGCAGTGAGAGGAGAGCACACAGACACAGAGTTTATAGGCAGAGAGATCAAAAGGATCATACAACTGGTGAGTGGACTGAACAAACCTAAAATGGCTGGCTGACTGCCTCCTGTAGAATCTTTAAACATTCATACATTCCTGCACTCTAGAAATTGCAGAAGCAGTGTATGGAGAACTCTGCTAGAAAGGAAACGCAAGTTTCGATTGATGGGGAAACCTGTGGATGTGGTGTATCTGGATTTCCAGAAGGCATTTGACAAGATGCCACACCAAAGGCTGCTACATAAGATAAGGTTGCACGGTATTACTAATGTATTGGCATGGATAGAAGATTGGTTGACCGATAGAAAGCAAAAAGTAGGGGTAAATGGGTGTTTTTCTTGTTGGCGGTCAGTGGCTAGTGGTGTGCCTCAGGGATCAGTGTTGGGACCGCAATTGTTTACAATTTACATAGATGATTTGGAGTTGGGGACTAAGTGTGGTGTGTCAAAATTTGCAGATGACACTAAAAAGTGAGTGGTAGAGCAAAGTGTGCAGAAGACACTGAAAGTCTGCAGAGGGACATAGGTAGTCTAAGTGAGTGGGCAAAGGTCTGGCAGATGGACTACAATGTTGATAAGTGTGAGGTCATCCATTTTAGTAGGAATAACAGCAAAATGGACTATGTTTTAAACGGTAAAAAAATTGCAGCACACTGCTGTGCAGAGGGACTTGGGTGTCCTTGTGCATGAATCACTAAAAGTAGGATTGCAGGTGCAGCAGGTAATTAAAAAGGCAAATGGAATTTTGTCTGCCATTGCTCGAGGGATGGAGTTTAAAAACAGGGAGGCTATGCTGCAGCTGTATAGGGTCCTGGTGAGGCCACACCTGGAGTACTGGGCGCAGTTTTGGTCTCCTTACTTGAGAAGGGATATACTAGCACTGGAGGGGGTGCAGAGGAGATTCACTCGGTTGATTCCAGAGTTGAGAGGGTTGGATTATGAGGAGAGACTTAGTAGACTGGGATTATACTCATTGGAATTCAGAAGAATGAGGGGAGATCTTATAGAAACACATAAGATTATGAAGGGAATAGATAAGGTGGAGGCAGGGAGGTTGTTTCCGCTAGCAGGTGAAACTAGGACTAGAGGGCATCACCTCAAAATAAAGGGAAGCAGATGTAGGACTGAGGTCAGGAGGAACTTCTTCACCCAAAGGGTTGTGAATCTGTGGAATTCCCTGTCCAGTGAAGCGGTTGAAGCTACCTCGCTGAATATTTTTAAGGCAAGGCTAGATAAATTTTTGAACAGTAAAGGAATTAAGGGTTATGGTGAGTGGGCGGGTAAGTGGAGCTGAGTCTCAAAAAGATCAGCCATGATCTTATTAAGTGGTGGGGTAGGCTCCAGGGGCCGGATGGCCTACTCCTGCTCCTAGTTCTTATGTTCTTATGATTAAGATGCAAATGCCAGAATCAGTTTCAAGTCACTGCCCTGAGATAAATAAAGGTTTCATTAGTGTCTGCTTAACTTTCCAAACATCAAACAGACAGAGCGATAGGAATATACAGAAGGTGACATCTCAGGTCAGACAGTGAATTGTAGGTGGGATGGCTTGTCCAGAATCTGTCTCAGAGTTTTAACCTGGAATCGGGCTGGTTTTATTCCGAAAGGAGGAATTTATAAAATGCCACACTGACTGACTGTGACTACAAATTGTGTGTTTCTTGAACAAAATAGCATGAATCTTCAAATGAACAAACATCTCAGATGAAATGATTCACCCCGCAAGATAGAGACCGAGCAAGTGCGTGTGCGAGAACATATACGCGAGAGAGTACATGCGTGCACGTGTGTGAAAGAGTGAAAATTCAACTCATCGATTGCCAGTTGTGACATACCACAGCGAAAAACCACGACACAGTCACAGGATATGATCGATAGAGTATCCTTCACCGTTCAGGACTTCCCTGGCGTGGAGAAACTATGGCATGTTTGTCACAGCCCTCAACATTGTCATCGATGATGATGAGCATCTCACCAAGATCTTTCCCATGCCTCCACTTCTCACCTTCAAAACAGCCAAACCTTAAACAGATCATTGTTCGCAGCAAACCACCCAGCCTTCATGACAACATTAACTACAACACGACACAACCCTGCCACGGCAACCTACGCAAGACATGTCAGATCATCGATGTGGGTACTAGCATCACACAAGGGAACACCTCCCACCACATACACGGAAGATACTCATGTGACTTAGCCAATGTTGTCTCTCATACACTGCAGGCAAGGATGCACTGAGGCATGGTTTATTGGAGAGACCATGCAGACGCTACGACAATGGATGAATGGACACTACGCCACAAGCACCAGACAGGATTGTTCTCTCCCAGTCGGGAATCATTTCAGCGGTCAAGGGGCATTTAGCCCCCAATTTTTGGGTAAGCGTCCAAGGCGGACTTCAAGATACACAACAATGCAGTCTCACCGAGCAGAGACTGATAGCCAAGTTCCGTACCCATGAAGATGGCCTCAACCGTGACCTTGGGTTCATGTCGTGCTACAGGTGACCCCACCACACTGTTCTGTACCTGTAAAATCTTCCTCACTGTCCTGTTTTGACGGCATCACCTTGACAAATTGTTATGATCTCTCCACCTTAATTAATTTGTACACTTTTGGATTACTTATTACTTTCTCTCTCTCTCATATGTACACACATATAAACGTACGGGGTGAATCATTTCATCCAACATGTTTGTTTACTTGCAGATACATTCTATATTGTTCAAGAAACACACAATTTGTAGTCACAGTCAGTCAGTATGGCATTTTATAAATTCCTGCTTTCAGAATAAAACCAGCCCGATTCCAGGTTAAAACTCTGAGACAGAATCTTGACAAGCCATCACACCTACAATTCAGTCTCTGGCCTGAGATGTCACCTTCTGTATATTCCTATCGCTCTGTCTGTTTGATGTTTGGAAAGTTAAGCAGATACTGATGAAACCTTTAATTATCTCAGGGCAGTGACTGGAAACTGATTCTGGCATTTGCATCTTAAATCAGTCGAAACTTGTGTCTCTTTTCTAGCAGAGTTCTCTATACACTGCTTCTACAATTTCTAGAATGTAAGAATGTATGAATGATTAAAGATTCTACAGGAGGGAGGCAGTCAGCCAGCCATTTTAGGTTTGTTCACTCCACTCACACCAGTTATATGATCCTTTTGATCTCTCTGCCTATAAACTCTGTGTGCTCTCCTCTCACTGCACCTGATGAAGGGGCTGCACTCCAAAAGCTTGTGATTTCAAATAAACCTGTTGTACTATAACTTAGTGTTGAAAGATCTACATATTTACATACATTTCTTTGAGTTTTCTGCATTCTGTTTGACTTTTGCTGCTTCTTCAGCTGTCAAGTCCCCCTTCCGAAGAACTACAACCTGTGGCTGCTCGTCTTCTGGATCACTCGGTCCACTGTCACTATCAACAGGTGTAAGCTGCTGCCTCTGAAGGAGGGAAAGAAAAATTAATTCAATTTTCAAATTAGATTTACAACATTTGTAGAGTGACAAAAACAGAAGTTGCTGGGAAAGCTCAGCAGGTCTGGCAGCATCTGTGGAGAGGAATCAGAGTTAACATTTTGGGTAAAGTGATCCTTCCTCAGAACTTCTTTCCACAGATGCTGCCAGACCTGCTAAGTGTTTCCAGTAACTTCTGTATTTGTTTGAGATTTACAGCATCCGCTGTTCTTTCGGATTTTATTATTAGAGTGATCTTTCACTGCTATTTTAAGCATGTCAATCAAAAAAGAGGTGAGGATTTCTCGCCACAGCTCCAACGTGGCACCAGCATGGGAGATCGTGTTCAGGCTCATGGGAGTCCATTTGCTCCTGGCTGGCGGCCTTGCCTTCTCCAAATACTTTTTGTCTTTTTCTTTTCCTCATCTTTGAGGCTGGAATGGTGTCAACAGGGCAATGGCTATAGCATTGGCAGCGTGAAACAGGACTCTTGGCGGTGGTGGCCAGAGCGGGGGACTCGTAGTGGCAGTAGGCCCGGAGCCTGGACTCAGGACAGTGTCGGTGAGGCGGAGGCAGCAGTACAGCCATGGTCTCCTACAGCATAGTTGTTGCTGTTTCCAGATTGGCAGTCCTTGAGGACTGGACTACCTTGCAGAAGCCCTGAAGCCTTACTTGAGACCCCAATTTGAACAGAAGATGAACCCTAAGCAATTTCTTTTTATCTTTATTGTAACACAAAATGGCGTCAGATTGCAGCAGCAAAACTGTATCTTCAACATATACATGGAAATAAATCATGCATTCATTCATCTGTGGTGTCGATTTCCGAACCTTCAATATCAATACACAACCTGATGGAAAATCAAGTGAATATCCAGGAACAGGATCATAGTAAATAGGCAGAGTAGGCCATTCATCCTTTTCAGCTGCTCTGCCATTCAACTAGATCATGGCTGGCCTTCGACATCATGGTCATTTTCTTGTACTATCCCTGTATTCATTGACATATTTTAGATTTAGGTTTTATTGTCACATGTACTCAAGTGTGGGGTACAAAAGTCCAGTGAAGTGTACAATGTCACCGCCACCATCCTTTGTCACCAGTCACCAACAGCCCCTGCCTCCATAGCTCCAGTTTTACGAACACTCGAGGTCTGCACTTTATTCAGTATATTTTGTATCCAGAGATCTATCAATATCTGCATTGAGCCTCATTTTTGGAAACTTCACAGACCTCTGTGGTAGAGAGTTCCAAAGATGTGCCACCATCTGAGTGAAGAAATTCCTCGTCTCAGCCTTACAATGGTGTCTCTCTTATTCTGAGATGATGTTCCCTGGTTCTAGACACCCTTCCCAGCCAGGGAAAACAGCCTTCCTGCTTCTACCCCTTTCAACCATGTACGAATTTTGTTTGCTGCAATGAGATTATCTCTAATGCTTCTAAACTCCAGCGAATACACGCCCAAGCTTCTCGAAAAATAATCCAGCACCAGTAATATGGCACCTTTTGATAAACCGGCAAAATATACCCGAAATAATGGATGTTTTCTGTATAATCACAATCTCCACAACGTTTGAGTAGTCAGTTATGGGCGCAATTAAGAGGGGTCTCTTTTGTAAGTTTTATTAAAGGTAAAGTGACATTGTTATTCAAGTGATCTATGCTGTAACAAAATATAACATAAAATTATATAAAATATGTGTATACCACCTACATTACGTTTCTATTACTTAGTTTGTGTTTTAACATTGATTATGTGGACCTCTTGATCTACTGGAGTATTTCATCAACTGGTCCCCTCCTGGTCCCATAGGTGTCGGTCAATAAAAAAAAAAAAATTTGCAATATCATCAAGAAAGGTAGGAAGCCAATTACATTGAAGTATTCTCTCGGATGGCAAACCAGGAAGTTTAAAAAATAAACTGAAATCCTTCACTCTTAACTTGCGAAATTTTTGTGATTGCAAAATAATCTTAGACACTGTAAGAGACAATATATTTTTCTTTATGGGGTATAAAAAGGAAAATGGAAGCTAGATGCTCTTACATTGCTAAAAGGTACGAGTATTTTTGCTGTGCAGCTTGAAGATCTAGTGAGATTGTGTAGTCTGCACCTTAGCTATACAAAGCTGTGTTACATTTTGGAGCAGTGAGATGGGTACCTTATGAGTTACAGTAGAACCAGTAGCATTTGAGTTAAGGAAAAACAGCCCAACAACAGCTTTCAGACTGGTTCAGCTGCAGTTTGTTACAGACCAATGAATGCAGTGCATCCGAGATATTCAGAAGTCTTATCTCTCACCATTTTCGTTGCGAGTGAAAAAACACAAAACCTAGAGACTCTCGAGAAAGACTTCTGATACAAGACAAGACTTAGGTCAACCCAATCAACTACTGAATCAAACAACATTTTTTTTTTTAAAAAACGTAATTGTGACACAAAGAACCATGAGAAACAAATCAATCCACCCTTGTGATCTGGATTTTGGTCTACAGAATTTGTTTCCATCTATACTTTTCCACCCATAGTATTTTTGTCAAACTGCCTGTTTTGTATGTCTTATTCATGAATGAATGTGTTTGGAGTTTTAAAAGGCTTTATCTTAAGTCACATGGTAGTCAATTAGTACTCCACTTTTTAAGGAATGCCTACTGACAATAATGAGTCATTTTCCTGGCAATGACAAAACCTGTTGTGAATTATTTTTGTCCTGAAAAGCAGGCAGTCAGGTAAATTCATCATCTTGGTGGTTTTGTTGTGCAGTTGAACACTTATGATAGTTTGTTGAATAGTGGGGCTCAATTGTTGGTGCAATCTTCCCAACTGAGTCATAGGTTTAGTTAGAAGATAACACAACTTTAATGACTTTACTAAAGAAAAAGAGAATAACATACTTAAGGAACTTAAGATCCAACAAATATAAAGTTGATTCAGAAAGAATAGTGAGACTATTTATCAGTATTTATGAAATTAATAGACCATCAAAACTTCTGCTGCAATTTATTGAACAGAATGTAACTTTTTCAATGGGTTTTTACGGTAAGATTAAGAGCATGAAAAGTCTCATCAGTTTAGTAATTTCTAATTGATTCCTGTCTGGTGAGGCCCCAACAGCTCGCCCTACTGAGAAGCATAGAATTACTAACAGCAAGCGATGAATTTCTGCACTTAACTGCACATTTGAATGTCCAAAGTTGGGTTCGGTTTTAAGGGAGTCATGATAGCAATCACGGACAGTTTCACGGCTGTTACTACCACAAAATCTAGGCTCATATGTCACTGGCTGAACCTCTAGTCAGAGTTAACATTTCTGGCGCCTCAGGAGACAGAAGGATTTTTCAATTCCAACAAGATAAAAAACAAATCTATGATAAAATACTAAGCAATCTGTACATCTTACCAATTCAGAGGCTACTCATTACCCAGGTTGCAAATTTGTGGAACACAATTAACAGCAACTGTGGAATCAATGCCCCATTTGCATACAAACTGATATGTAACAACATGTAGGGCACAATCCTCAGTGCTTTATGATTCTAGTTGACGCTGCAATGATATTGATGCTGAAATCTACAGCAGCATCAGCTTATGCTTTTAGAAACTTCATTGAAACAAAAATGTACATTTTTATATGTATACTTAAACATTGCCAATTGTCCTAATGCACTTCACAGGCTCGATTATAAAACAAAGTTTGATACCAAGCCACATAAAGAGATACTAAAGAGGAGATCAAATGCCTGGTCAAAGAAGTGGGTACTGAGGAACATCTCAGTAGGGGACAGAGGTTCAAAACTGGCTGAGGGAAGGAATTCAAGAGACTAGGACCTAAAAACAAATAAATGCAGTTGAGAGATGGTTCATCTCTAATCAAAGTGAATGATGGAACAGGTCTAAGGGCTCCTGTTCCAATGCACTAATATGTTTCAAGGCAAACAAACAGTCACTGGACTTCAACCATAATCAGGGGAAGAGAGGAAGCCACATCAGAGGGAATGACTGATTCTCATGTTTGCTGAGCAACATTCAGAGGAGTCACACTGGCCTGTTGCGTTGGCATGAGTATCAACAAACTGTGTGGAAACATATTTTATGGTCAAAGTTTTTTTAAGGAGGATGCAAAATACTCTAGGTAGCGGAAATCTGGAATAAGAAAAAACAGGCACAGCAAGTCTTGTGAAAACACTGATTTCAGGTCCTAATGTCTGCTGTAAATCCAATTTGAACATCACTGCTTGATTAGGTCAGCTGCATTGACAATAATCCACTGGGAACAGAAAGTTAGCTGGAGAGAACTAGACGTAGCCAGCGGGAGTCACTGGGTTGTTTGTCTCTTGTTCATGCCTGCTTGTATGTAAGAAGTTTTGTAGTGTGTGTAATATATTCAATTTTTAAAGCTTTAGCAAAGATCTGTAGCTCGGGTTGTGGGTGAGGTTGTTGACTCGCTCGCCAAGCTGGCTTGTTTTCATTCAGACATTTTGTCAGCTTTCTAGGTAATATCAGTGAGGCTTCCGATGAAGCGATGTTATTCTATTCCGCTTGGAATTTATACTGTCTGGTGCATTATGGTGAGTAGTGTCATTTCCGGTTTTGATCTGTATGGGTTTGTATATGGGGTCCAATTCTATGTGTTTGTTGATTGCATTACGGGTGGAGAACCATGCCTCTAGAAATTCCTGTGCATGTCTATGGTTAGCTTGGGCTACTATATACCTTGTTCCAGTCAAGCTGACAGCCTTCATTGTCCGAGTGTACCGATATTAAGGAAAGTTCATCGTACCGTTTTGCTGCTAGCTGATGTTCATGTATTCTGATGGCTAGTTTCCTTTCTGTCTGTCCGATGTAATGCTTGTGGCGGTCATTGCATGGTATTTCGTAAACCATGTTGGATCTGTGGGAATGGAGTCTTTAAACATTGTGATGTCTTTCATAGAGTGGCTGTGGGCTTGTGTGCTACCATCATTCCTAGTGGTCTTAGGAGAGTGGCCAGTGTTAGGGCGTACTGTGTCCTCCTGTTGTTGTCCGTTTAGTAGGCACCCGTGGATGAAGTTGCGGGGATATCCGTTCACTGTGAAGGTTTTGTATAGGTGCTTTCCCTCTTTCCTGCATAGTTCTAGAGTGTTGCAGTGTGTCCTGGCCCATTTAAATACTGTCTTAATGCAGCTCTGTTTATGGACGTGGGGGTGGTTGCTGTGGAAGTTGAGGATTTGATCAGTGTGGGTCGCTTTTCTGTTTACTGAGGTTTGGAACTCACCGTTGGTCATACAATCAACTTTAACATCCAGAAACAGAAGTTGATTATTGTTTCCTTCTTCCCTTGTGAATTTAATCCCTGCAAATACATTGTTGTTTTTAATTTTTAACCAGTTTGCCTCCATGATTTGCGCCTTTCCAAACAAAACAGGTGCACTTTCTTCTTATCGGTTTATTGAGAAAAAGCATTTGTGGAGAGAGTAGGTTTAATCATTCAGGTCAATAACCTTCTGTCCAAAATCTGAACAGCTAAACTTATCTTTACCTCCTTACAGATGCTGACCCCATGGGCGTTCATAGAATTTTAAAAAATAATTTAACAAAGGAGTTTACT